CACACACACACACACACACATATATACATACATACATACATAGATTTCCAATAACAAATGTATACCAATTATCTGTGACTAATAATAAAATGTAGAATTTAGAATACTTTCTAAGGAAATATTTTAAAAAGGTCTTTTTTTCCCTGCAAGCATAGTCACATTTTAAAATTCAAGACACAGGAATACATGTCCATGTAAAAACAACATTTCTGCACTATTAACTCCCTAGTAGAAAAATTAGAAAAGTAGTTCAATTTTCCTAGAGTTGTATTTTTAATGAATGGAAACTGGATTTCCTTTTTCTGTTTCAGATTTCACAATGTACTGGGAAAAAAGACAGTTCACCATTTCCCAACCATGATTTCATGACTGCTGATCTGAATTAAACAGACTGACTCCAGCAACTAGTCCATAATTTAACTTGGTAAAGTCCCATTCTTTAAAACTCTTTTGCTTAAAAGTTATCTCCATTGGACATTACAACCAAGAGTTAGTACCTCTCCTTTCTCTGTATACACAGGCACACACAGGTCTCCATACATATGACCCAAATTCCTGCCCAATATAATTCTCCACTGTTGCTGTTATTAATATGGTAATTATTTATTCCCATCTATCATATTATATAAATTCTCTAAAAGCTTAAATTTAGCAAATGCAGTGTTAACAAGACAGTAATAGTTTATCCTCTCTTCAGAATTTAAAATGTTACTCCTCTTTTAGTACCACTTATGTACTAGTATGTGTATAAATTCTGGAAAAAGCTTCAAGTGTCTCTAAAATTCCTAGTGGTCTCTAAGATCAAAGATGAAGACCGAATAAATAAATACAAATACTTTTATAGTAAATGTGCCATTCATAAGAGGCAGGTTAGCACTGTGGGTAAGAGTAGAGACTCAAAGTCTCAGAGTGACAGAACATTTGAATGTGTAACTATAGGTAAGTTAACTTCTCTGTATCTCAGCCTTCTTATCCATAGGAAAAAAGAGATAATCCTGATCAGTACTTCACAGAGTCAGTGTGAAGATTTACTGAGTTAACATCAAAGAAGGACTTTGAAAAGTATCTGGTATATAGTAAGTACTACATAAATATAATACATATTTATTATTATAATAATATTTGAGCATATCATTGGTAACAAATAAATGTACTATTTGCTTTCATTACATGATCTGGAATATTCTTAACAACCCATATTTATAGCTGAAGACACTGAGAATGAGTTTAAATAACTTGCTTAGAAACAAACCATTAATGACCTGAAGCAAAAGTAGGATTTAAATTTGATTCCACAATCTATATACTATCTATGCATCAAGCTGCAAAAGAAGCCAAATTATCATTTATTCACTTGTTAAAACTTCCTGTCATTTGTGAACATATCTAAATGAAATTCAAGAATAAGCAGCCTCGTTAACCAACTCTGTTAAAATTAACAGGTCATCTACATGCTTTATAATATGATTGAAATGAATCACTTGGCTGTCATAGAGTAAAGCTTCTAGTGGTGAGAAATTACTAACAAGAAAATAATTGCAAACTGCTAGATAATGCTAATTAATTAGTGCAATATTTTCAACTTCTGTGGATGAAGATTTCATGGCTAGGACACTAAATCACCACATTTTCAGTTACAGAAAGGACTAGTAACCTTTGCTCAGTTTCCAGTTCATTCATCTTTCGGTGCTTCTGCTCTAGCTGCTCCTGTAGCTCTGTGATACGTTCATTCTCAGTACCTTCCTGTTGTAAGCGAAGCATCTTGTTTTCATGCTGCAGTCGAATAAACACCTCTCTGATGTGGAAAAGTAAATTTGCATTGAAACTTTTAAAATGAATCACTATATCCTTTACAAAAAGAAATTCAAGTCCACCCAACAGCTATTATTTTAAAAGGAGTTCAGAACTTCTGAAATATTTTAAGAAAAACTTATGTA